GCTGCTTCAGCCCTGAATGCCCCGATCCACCGCCGCGACCGGGCCTCGGGTGTCACCGCGTCGCCCAGCCGCGACACCCCTTCCCCCTTCGTTGTCTTTTTCCCTTTCTCACTTTACGCGGCCGCCGCTTCCCCCCCACCCACCACGGGTCTCCGTCGGCGGTTCACGTGGTAACTGAACGGACCGACAGAGGCAGCCAAAATGGCGGACGCGAAGGGCTTTCCCACCCGGGTCATGCCGCCGAGCGCGCAGGCGCGATGACCTCCTTTCCCCACCTCCTCTGCCCCGGAGCTTGCTGGGAAACCTGGAGGCCGGCCCGGGGGCCAGGGCAGAGGGGGTCGCAGAGGCCCCGCCCACCCGTTCGCCGCTGAGAATCACGGAGGCACCGGGGGAGCGCGGACTGTGGTCCGCTCTGGCTCCGACCGCCTCTGCGTTAAAAACAGCAGCCTTCCTACTGCTACACTGGCCTTTCATTCATTGGATCCACTCTCCCAGACAGATCGCAGCTTGAGCCTGAAGTGCTTAAATGCGGGCGTTCAAGAAGCGCTGTGTTTGATCCTGGACAAAGTGCCGAATTAAGTAGCAGAGGCGGAGAGAAAAAGAAGGCTTCACGCCAGTGGGGACTTGTAAACAGATATGGAGAGGAGGGGGCTTAATGGAGTCTAAAAAGCACGGAAGAGCTTAAGCAACTAAATGGACTTGGCTGGGGTACTGGCGACTCAGTTTATTCCTTAGGACCAACCTGTAAAGGTAGTCGGCCAGACCCAGAGTGTCATTTTGCACTGCCAGAGAAGCATCTGAATGTTCAAGCGTGTGTTTTTATTTCATGGCGGAGGCCATGCCCTGCCGGGTTGACGAGTGGCTGAGTCACCTTGGGTAGTGGCATTAGGGACACTGACTTCCCTGGAGCTAGCTTCAAGCTAGTGCTTTACAGTGTGACTCGTTGAATTCCCCAACTCCAGAAATCCTCAAATCTTAGAAGCCTAAGAAGATCTGGCAAGGATACTAGAAAACTATTGCAGTAGGTAAAGTCAGACTACATACCCACTAGGGCATCTTCTACATATATGTCATTTCATTAACAATCACAGTAAAACTAAGTTTTAAAAACGGCATTCCATTGATAATCTACAGTTTTTCATATCATATGAGCCATTTTTACCCTTGATAACTTTTTAAAAATCCTCACCTGAGGATATTTTTTCTACTGCTTTTCAGAGAGAGTGGAAGGGAGAGAGAGAAACATGGATGTGAGAGAGACACATGGACTGGTTTCCTTCCACATGATCTGCTCTAACCACTGAGAACACCAGCCAGGGCCCCTTGATTATTTCTTATGATCTTTCTCCAGATCCTGAATTCGATTCATAGCATTTTCTGCATCAGGAATCATTATATAATATGTAACAGTGCTCTTTTAAATTTATTTACCCAGCCCCACCGGTGTGGCTTAATGGTTGAGCATCCACCCATGAACCAGGAGGTCATGTTGGATTCCCAGTCAGGGTACTAGCCCAGGTTTCTGGCTCAATCCCCAGTAGGGGGCGTGCAAGGCAGTTGATTAATGATATTTCTATCCCTCTCCCCCTCTCTCTTCCTCTCTGAAATCAATTTTTTAAAAAATATTAAATTTATTTACTCAGGTATTTTCCTGGTTTCAGCTTCTTCTTTCTTAACTTTCTCTGGAAAGTTTCCCAGTGGAAAAGTCTGGGACTAATGCTTGGGCTTTCTGCTATCTCAAATGCCCTCTCCTTTTGCCTGGGTCATAAATAAGGTTTTAGTAGTCAAATCCTGAAATCTCCTCAATTTCTGTGATCTCCAAAAATTTCATTAAGAAAATTTTACTGCCCTAGCTGGTTTGGCCCAATGGATACAGCGTTGGTCTGTGGACTGAAGGGTCCCAGGTTCGATTCCGACCAAGGGCACATGCCCAGGTTGTGGGCTCGATCCCCAGTAGAAGGCGTGCATGGGGCAGCCAATCAATGATTCTCTCTCATCATTGATGTTTCTATCTATCTATCCCTCTCCCTTCCTCTCTGAAATCAATAAAAATATATTATTTTAAAAGAAAATTTTATCTATAGGAAACTGAGTTTGAGTTTTGGAATATGGCCAGTTTTTTTTTTATCTTAACTTAAAAAAACACACAACAGAACAAACATAGAATTCATAAAAACAGTTGTTAATTTGTAGTAACATTTGAACTTCACTGCCCCCTTTTAAAAGGCCTTTCTTTTAACTATCTGAACTATAAAAAGATAGAAAAATTGTCTAACTTCAGGTTTAGGGTTTTCTTTAAGATTATGTTTAAGGTTAAAGTTAGGGTTAGTGTTGGGGTTAAGATTATATTTAGGATTAAAGTTAGGTTATGGTTAGTGGTAGGGGTTAAGTTTAGGGTTATGGTAGGGTTAGCTTTAAGGTTAGGTTTAGGATTAGGGTTTGGTTTAGGGTTAGAGTTAGGTTAATTTTAGGGTTAGGTTTAGATTTAGTTATGTTTAGGTTTTGAGTTAGGATTCAGCTTAGGGTTAGGTTTATGTTTAGGGTTAGGATGGCTTCATAGCCAAAAGTCCCTATAGCAATATTATTTGCTATGATTTTCTAAATGTATCCTGTAAATAATATACTGTTTTCCACGTGGGGGAAGAGCATTTCTTGTCTTTCAAAACAAGCAGTAGTTTCCAACAGAAGCTAAGCACCTAAATAGATGAGCCAGCAATATGCTTTGGTAATGTTACACTCTTTTTGGCTGATAACAAATAAATACCAATTTTTAAGATCCAGTGAATACTAGTTGAGTCAACATTTATCTGAGTCATATCCTCATTAAAATGGACCTACTGATACAGGTAACAGTTGAACCACATAGTCAGAGACTTCATAGCCTGAACTCAACAATAAAATATGTACTCTGGTAGATCACCACTTTTTATTTTTTATTTTTTTTAAATATATTTTATTGATTTTCCACAGAGAGGAAGGGAGAGAGATAGAGAGTTAGAAACATCGATGAGAGAGAAACATTGATCAGCTGCCTCCTGCACATCCCCTACTGGGGACGTGCCTGCAACCCAGGTACATGCCCTTGACCGGAATCGAACCTGGGACCTTTCAGTCCGCAGGCCGACGCTCTATCCACTGAGCCAAACCGGTTTTGGCCGATCACCACTTTTTAACAGATAAAGATCTCACTTATACTGTTAATGATAGCTATCCAAGAAGTTAACATATCCAAGGCTAGATGGTGACAGTGAAGATGATGGTGGTGGTGGGTAGTGCACCTTACCCCAAATATTTGCATATGACTATTGTCAAAATGCCTCATCCCTGAAAATCTTAACCAAAAATCCTATATAATAAAAGCCTAATATGCTAAGTGTCCGACCATTGGACCATTGGACCATTCGACCAGTCGCTATGATGTGCACTGACCACCAGGGAGCAGAAGCTCCGACTGGTACGTTAGCTTGCTGCTGGGGTCAGGTCCATTGGGACTGAGTGAGACAGGCCAGACACGCCCTGGAACCCTCCCAAGATCCCTCCCCAGCCTCAATCGTGCACCAGTGAGGTCCCTCTGCCTGACCTGCACCCTCTTGCAATCCAGGACCCCCTCAGGGGATGTCAGACTGTGGTTTCGGCCCGATCCCCACAGGCCAGGCCAAGGGACCCCACCAGTGCACGGATCCGTGTACCAGGCCTCTAGTAAATAAATAATTTACCTGACAAACTTTAATTCTACAAAAAGGGTTATGTAGAGTTAAATTCATTCATCTTCACATATGTAAGATGTTCTCTATTGACACTTTTATGCCTTAATTATTAAGTACTTAAATTTTATAGAAATACAACAGAAAAGAAATATGTATTTGCCACCCAGATTTAACAAATGTTAACATCTTGTGATTACTTCAGTAAGTTAAATAAAAACTTAAAGATACATCAGGCACTTCATCTCTCTCCAGATCCTGAATTTGATGTATAGTCTTCTTGTGAATCATAAATCAATAAACATATATATAATTTACATTTTATACTGTTTCAAGTCTTGCTCTTCATTAACCCTCCTTAGGAGGTGTAAGTTGAGTAAGAAGTTTCCCAGCAGGAAAATCAGGGACTAAAAAGTCTGGTTTCCTAGCTGCTATTCAAATCTCCTTTCCCTTTGCCTGGGTCATAAATAAAGTTTTAGCATTCAAATTCTGGAAATGCTTAAATGAATGTCAGGTAGCAACTTCTACCAAAACATCACAGCTATTAGCTCCCGGCTGGAATCGCTTCACCGAGATTCTTTTCAAGATGTGGTTTCACCTACAGCTGCCTACTCCAAGTGTAGGGTTCCATCAGCTATAACACACTGAGAGAAATGTGCTTATACTTTATCACTCTCTCAAAATATACACCAGTAAAAGGGGCCAAAAGAACAACACAGCCTTTTCCAGCAGCAGTACTGAAATGGGCAATTGGCTTACTGGCTCTGTATGCTCTGACTAAGTCAGGTTTCTGTTCCAACTTGTTGGATACTAGCAAGAGCTGTGTCAGGACAAGCTTCCAAGGGATGATGTAGAAAGGATATACAACTGACTGGGTGCTGAGTGGACGAGAAGAGAAGTTGAGAACCAACAACTCAGTCAGCATATTAGCTGAGTGGTTTGCTTACTTGAGCGTGAGCCCAGGAGACTCAAACTAGGTTAGAAACTATAAAGTGACTCAGATCTTAGCAATCTATTTAGCCATCCATTACATGTACTAGTAAAAATGAACCAGAAAGCATAAACAATTATTTTTTACTCTTTAGTTAATAATTTTTGGTTTAAAAAATTTTAATAACATAGCTAAAGAAAAAATAGAAGGACCTGGCTGGTGTAGCTCTGTGGCTGGCAGTGTTGGTCGGGGGTTCGATTCCCAGTCAAGGGCATGTACCTGGGTTGTGGGTTTGATCCAGAACCCCAGTGGGGCACGTGCAGGAAGCAACGAATAGACGTATCTCTCTCATATCAATGTTTCTCTCTCTCTCTCTCTCTCTCTCTCTCTCTCGGCCCGATCCCCACAGGCCAGGCCAAGGGACCCCACCAGTGCACGGATCCGTGTACCAGGCCTCTAGTAAATAAATAATTTACCTGACAAACTTTAATTCTACAAAAAGGGTTATGTAGAGTTAAATTCATTCATCTTCACATATGTAAGATGTTCTCTATTGACACTTTTATGCCTTAATTATTAAGTACTTAAATTTTATAGAAATACAACAGAAAAGAAATATGTATTTGCCACCCAGATTTAACAAATGTTAACATCTTGTGATTACTTCAGTAAGTTAAATAAAAACTTAAAGATACATCAGGCACTTCATCTCTCTCCAGATCCTGAATTTGATGTATAGTCTTCTTGTGAATCATAAATCAATAAACATATATATAATTTACATTTTATACTGTTTCAAGTCTTGCTCTTCATTAACCCTCCTTAGGAGGTGTAAGTTGAGTAAGAAGTTTCCCAGCAGGAAAATCAGGGACTAAAAAGTCTGGTTTCCTAGCTGCTATTCAAATCTCCTTTCCCTTTGCCTGGGTCATAAATAAAGTTTTAGCATTCAAATTCTGGAAATGCTTAAATGAATGTCAGGTAGCAACTTCTACCAAAACATCACAGCTATTAGCTCCCGGCTGGAATCGCTTCACCGAGATTCTTTTCAAGATGTGGTTTCACCTACAGCTGCCTACTCCAAGTGTAGGGTTCCATCAGCTATAACACACTGAGAGAAATGTGCTTATACTTTATCACTCTCTCAAAATATACACCAGTAAAAGGGGCCAAAAGAACAACACAGCCTTTTCCAGCAGCAGTACTGAAATGGGCAATTGGCTTACTGGCTCTGTATGCTCTGACTAAGTCAGGTTTCTGTTCCAACTTGTTGGATACTAGCAAGAGCTGTGTCAGGACAAGCTTCCAAGGGATGATGTAGAAAGGATATACAACTGACTGGGTGCTGAGTGGACGAGAAGAGAAGTTGAGAACCAACAACTCAGTCAGCATATTAGCTGAGTGGTTTGCTTACTTGAGCGTGAGCCCAGGAGACTCAAACTAGGTTAGAAACTATAAAGTGACTCAGATCTTAGCAATCTATTTAGCCATCCATTACATGTACTAGTAAAAATGAACCAGAAAGCATAAACAATTATTTTTTACTCTTTAGTTAATAATTTTTGGTTTAAAAAATTTTAATAACATAGCTAAAGAAAAAATAGAAGGACCTGGCTGGTGTAGCTCTGTGGCTGGCAGTGTTGGTCGGGGGTTCGATTCCCAGTCAAGGGCATGTACCTGGGTTGTGGGTTTGATCCAGAACCCCAGTGGGGCACGTGCAGGAAGCAACGAATAGACGTATCTCTCTCATATCAATGTTTCTCTCTCTCTCTCTCTCTCTCTCTCTCTCTCCTCGCCCCCTCCTCTCCCTAAAAATCAATGGGAAAAAATACCATGCCCTATCTGGTTTGGCTCAGTGGATAGAGCATTGGCTTGAGGACTGAAGGAGTTCAATTCCAGCCAAGGGTGCATGCCTGGGTTGCAGGTTTGATCCCCAGTAGGGGGCCTGCAGGAGGCAGCTGATCAATGATTCTCTCATCATTGATGTTTCTATCTCTCCCTCTCCCTTCCTCTCTGAAATCAATGGAAATATATTTAAAATATATATATACTAGTATATCATTGGGTGAGGATTAACAAAAAAAGAAAATATAGAAGGAAAAGAGGTTTGCTAACATTTATTTTGCGTTTAAAATGAAACTAAATGGCATAAGATTCAAAGGATTAGAGTTAAATTATTAAAACTTATTATCTCTTTTACCTATACATATTTTTACAAGGTCTTTACACATCAGATCAAATTGAGAATTGAATGTACATAAATCTGGTGCAACTGTGGAAGAGACAAAACCTACTGATCAGCACAATGTTTTTAACAGGCAAAACCAAGTTGTTTACAAACTAAGTGTCCCAACGACCCTATGCATAGGCTTGATGTTAGGGAGGCACACAGAGGTTAAGTAATTTGCCTAAAATTGATGCAGCTAAAAAGGTGTGAGCAGGAATGGCACTTAGGAACTTAAGCACTTTGAACCCTGCCCTTCAGCTCATGGCCTCATGGCACTGTCCAAGCCTGTTAGGGGGGCTAAGGAGGGTCACTGAAAAGGGAGGATCACTAAATCTGGGATCAGAAGACCTCAGTCTGAAGCCCGCCTCCCCCACGTGTGTGCTCTTGAGCGGGTCAGGACATTTGTTTTAAAACGCGGGGATTCTCTTTTCCTCACAGGGTTGTGAGGCTTTTCTAAGACAGTGCGAGCAAGCAGACTTTAGAAACCGTAAGAGGTCTTTCCAAATATCAGGAATACTATGTCACCTTGGATGAATAGCTTGTCTTCTTTGAGCTTCGTCTGTAAATTGAAGATGATAATCACGGCATGCCATGCAGTCTGTCGCGAAGATGAAATGAGAGGATGCATGTGAACCACATGATGCATTCATGCACAGTGGCTGGAACACAGAATTTAATCAACATGCTAACTGTTAACTCAACATGACACTTCATTTCCAGTTTTCTGGCTCCTGACGGTGGATTGCAGTGGATCTAAGGGTTGGTATCCCTGGGGAAGGGGTCTGAAATAAACTCTCCGAGGACAAGGCAGAGGACAAGCCACCTCCTCCTCCCCCACACCACGCACGTGAATCATTTCCTCCCTAACCTCGCAGACTGGAGACGGACCAGACGAGTGAGTACCTGCCTGGGACTGCGACG